CCCAGACAGGCGAACTTCAAAGAAGTTCAAGTATGACAAAGATCACCTCGTGAAGGCAGAAGTACAGAAACTCGTCTCCAAAGGCAACAAGGCTGCCTTCCCCAAAGTGGTGCCCGGGGCCCCTTGTCAGGACACGGCTGCAGAAGAGGATGCACTGCTCCCGGGCAGGGACACTGCCGTCCCTGCTCACCAGGAGGCTGCAGCTCACTCTCACACAGGCCGCCAGTGCCTGAGTGACACTGTCCCAGCTAAGACTGAAGGTGGCCCATCCCCACTGGAGCCCTGTACCAGTGCGGCGGCAGAGGAGTCGGAACGAAGCTCTGGGGGGCCAGAGGAATCCGCGCTGACCACTGGGGAGACGCGGGTGCCGCTGCTTCAGATAGACAGCAGCGTCTTTCTGGACGAGGACAGCAATCAGCCCCTGCCCGTGAGCCGGTTCTTCGGAAACGTGGAGTTCATGCAGGTAAGAGCGGTGCCCCGACCTCTGCTGGGCTCAGGCATAACTGTGTCTCGAGTTCTGTTCCCACCACGTCCACATCTGAGTACTGTCTCAGAAAAAGCAGCAGCCCTGACCCAAGGAAAGCTCTGGTCCTTGCTGAGGGCTCCAGCTCCCAGCCTGAGAATCAGTGCCACTTGATGCCTTGGTGGAGGCGCAGGGGGCACCCACGGCCCTCGGGGTGCCAGACCCCACCCACCACGCCCATCTTGTCCTCATCAGCCGGCTTGCTTCTGACCGAGGGGTGGCGCGCTCAGACGCACTGTTTTCTGCCCCACGAGACCCAGAGCCGAGTGGGAGTGTCGCAGTGCAGGTGCTCAGATGGTGTCCCTCGAGACTCAAGTCCCTCTTTCTTCCCCACTAAGGACCTGCCACCGGCCTCGTCGTCCTGTCCTTCCATGAGCAGACGGGAATTCAGGAAGATGCACTTCAGAGCCAAGGAGGACGAGGAGGACGAAGGCGCAGAGATGTAGAGGGCCGACGGGGGTGGGGCTGCGGGTCACTGCAGCCGGCAACTGCAAGGGTGGTCTGGTGGGTCATGAAGTTTATATAAAATGCGTCTCCAGAGAATGTGTCCTTGCTGGACTGGGACGGTGACCTGTGCACGTGGGCGGCTCACGTCGCCGGGCGCCTGGGGGAGGCTTCGTCGCGGCACCGTGAGCTGCTGTCACGCTGCCCGGAGTGGGCCAGCAGGGCATGGGCTAGCAAGCGATCTGTAAGGCAGGCCCCGCTGCCGCCGCTCGGGACGTAGAGCTTACGCAGGCTGGTGGCCGTCATCGCGAGCGGATGGACCTGAAGATTCATTCCGGGCCAGTCCCTGAAGGGCTCAGCTATGTGTGAATGTGAAACCGCCCGCCTTGACAGTTTTGCCAAACACACGGGGAAAAGGAATAAAATATATATTTTGGAAATACTTTTAAAGAACTGTACTCAGCACTATTCCTCAAATGTCTGAGCACCTCGGGAGGACACAAGTCCTGTCCTTGGCTGGGACCACACGTCCCGGAGGCCTTAGGACAGCCGTGCACCACACACCTTCCCCTCGGGGACTTGCTCTCGCTCAGCTTAGCCAGGGAAGGGAGAGCACAAGCTGCTTCCCGGGAGAGCAGGCTGCACCCAGCCGCCCTCAGCGCTCCCTCGCAGGGCGGGCTGCCCCGGCACTCCTGCCTCCGGCAGTGCTGTGCTTGGGCATCCCGGCTGCCCAGGTGAGCTATGGGGCACTTTCCTGAGTGAGCAGGAGCCTCTGGGTGGTGACCACAGCCAGCTGTGACCTCCAGGCCGTCTGCCGTTGAGGCACAGGAAGTGAGTGACATAACAGATAAACCCAGAGGTGTTGGGAGCTGTCCCGACCGCTCCCCTAAGATCGCGCCTGTTTCCTGCTTTCGGGTTCTTGTTACCAAGTAAACAACCTTGTAAAATGTATGTCTGCCTGGATAATGATGATTCTGACCTATCAGCTTATGATCCTTGCTTTAACATGATTGGCTGCCCAAACCTTATATAGGTTTGTGACTCTACCCCCGAAGAGAGAGAAGAGGAAGATAGACGAGGGTGGAGGATCTTGTTAGATCCAATTGCGCTGTACACAATAAACACTGAGAGCTGACCCACGAGTGATAGACTCTTATTGATACGGCACCGAACAACTGGTGGCCCGTACGGGGACTTTTAATTTACCACTGTGCTCACTCTGGCCAAGTGACGCAGAGGTGCGTTCCCCGTTGTAGCCAATAGATAGGGAAACAATTTGGTCTAACAACACCGGAGGACCTAGAGCATCTCTTCTCCGCACCCCGGGTCGGTTACACACGATACAGCAGACACGTACGTGGACCAGGTGAGTACTAAATTGCCTGGGCCGGGTGGACGCACCCGGTAAACTCTACGGTGCTTCTTACAGAAGCGCCGGCCTCCGCACCCTTAGCGTTGAGGGTGCGGGGGACAAGCAAAAGGGGAATACGGGTTATTAGATATTCCTCGTGTCCTTCTTTTGCTTGCCTTTTATACCTTTCGTTTGTTGCACCATGGGTAATGCAGCCCGCAAGCCCCTTGCTGCCTCCTTGAGGGTGCTGCTCAAATCTCGCGGCATACGGGTTACTCAGGGCACCCTGACCCATTTTTTAGATTATGTTAATGATATAGCTCCCTGGTTCTGGTCCACAGGCTCCCTAACTCCCATCTTGGGAGAAGTTGGGAGGGGATTTGCTGAGTGCTAAGGCTATGGGCAAGTTGGACCCTATGGATTTGCCCCTGTGGGAACTAGTTAGAGCCTGTTTGGCTGATGAGAACGCCTCCGAGCTACATTTGGCTAGGCAGACATTAGATAAAGCCCGCTCTGAGTGTTCTGAAACGCCCATCCCACCTGCAGAGTCTGATCCTAAAGGCCCCCCAAATAAGCCTGGCTCTCAGGAAAGCTCTGACAGTTCCCGGTCGGACTTGGAGAGTTCCGAAGAGGAAGTGATATTCAAAAAGGGGACCGTTACAAATGCGTGGGGAGCGGCCCGCAAAGGGGAACAGGCGCCCCTCTGCCCAGGATACGCTGACTTTCCCCAATCCGTTCCAGCAGGTGGCACTCTCCCACAACCCTGGTGTGGGCCCTGTTCCCACAGCCCCCCCCCCCCCAGGGACATTGTGGCCCACCGCCCCACCCTGGCAGGGGGAGGAGCTACTTCCCGGGCTACCGCCCCGCCAAGGTTGAGGGAAGGCGCTCTTTTCATCAGAGGGTTTGGTCACGCCTTCCCTTTGATGGCGTTGGCTTTCATGCCTTTCCTGTTCAAATAGGGGGCAGAGGGGGAGGGGGGTTTTATAAACCTCTAGAGAACAGTTAAAGGCCATTAAGGATACAACTACAGCCTATGGGCCCAATGCTCCCTTTACACTGGCTCTCTTAGAATCTTTGGCGGGCCTGTTATTGACACCTGGGGATTGGACACAGATTGCCCGCGCTTGCCTCTCCCCTGGACAATATCTAGATTAGAAATCATAGAATGAGAAATTTTACACAGACCAGGCAGCAACTAATAGGGATAACGGGCATCGTGATTGGAATAAGGACATGCTATTGGGTCAAGGACCCTATGCAGAGGATCAAACACAATTCCCTCACCCTGTGTATGAGCAAATCAACCGCTGTGGCATACAAGCCTGAAAGCGGTTAGCGGGTAAGGGTGAACACACGGGCCATCTTACCAAGATTGTTCAGGCCCGGGGGAACCATTCTCAGAGTTCGTAGCCCGCATGCTTGAGGCAGCGAGTAGAATTTTTCCAGATATCCAGACTGCCAATCCCCGATCAAGCAACTAATTTTTGAGCAATGCACTAAGGAGTGCCGTGATGTTTTAAGGTCCAACAAAAATAAGACCCTAGAGGACTAGACTCGATTATGTCGGGAGCTCGGTGGGCCAGTAACTAATCATGGCCTTGCCGCCGCTATGGTGGCAGCACTCCAAAAGGGTAAGAGTGGAGGCAAACAGTCGGAAAATGGACCTAAAGGCAAAAACCAAGGCGCCTGTTTTAACTGTGGCCAAGCGGGCCACATTAGGAGAAACTGTCCCAATCAACAATTATCAAGGGGAAGTGACAAACCCCAGTCGGGATTGTGCCCCAGGTGCCATAAGGGCGATCATCCTGCGGCACAGTGTCGTTCGATCTTTGATAAAGATGAAAACAGACTTTCGGGACGCCCCGACGGCCAGTCAAAAAATGGCCAGAGGGGACCTCACCAGCAGGCGGGGTCCCCACAGACACAAACCTTCCTCCAGTTCCAACCGCAACAACAACAGCAACCCTCCCTATTCCCTTCCAACGGGCAACCCCAGGCTCCGCAGGATTGGACCTCAGTGCCGCCTCCGAACTCCTACTAACCCCAGAAATGGGGGTCCAATTAATAGATACCTCCTTTCCCGGTCCCCTACCATCTGACACTGTTGGCCTCTTAATGGGAAGATCCTCGGCTGCCTTCCGAGGCCTTACAGTTATCCCCGGAGTTATTGATTCAGACTATACGGAAAAAATAAAGATTGTGGTTCAGGCGCTCCAGGGTATTGTTTTGATTAACAAGGGAGATAAGATAGCTCAGTTGCTCCTTTTGCCAAGCCTTCACAAGTGCTTCCCCGCGGGGAAAGAGACTCGAGGTTTTGGCTCCTCTGGCAGTTTCTTCGAGGGTCTACACATGACTCTGCAGGAACGGCTGATGTTGACTCTGAATGTCAACGGGAAATCTATCAAAGGCCTATTGGACACCGGGGCGGACCGTTCCATTATTTCTCAGAAAGACTGGCCTGAGTCCTGGCCCACGAATGTAGCAGAGCAGAGTCTACAGGGGCTAGGGTTCTTCCATGCCCCAAAAGTCAGCGCTTCGTTGTTGACTTGGCAGGATCAGGAAGGTCACAGAGGCCAGTTTCAACCCTTTATACTTCAATTGCCCGTGTCTCTCTGGGGCAGAGATGTCCTGACAGATATGCATGTTACATTGACCACTTCCTACTCCCCCAAGGCCCAGTCGATGTTGCGCAAGCAGGGTTATGTCCCTGAAAAAGGCCTAGGTGTTAAACTACAGGGCATACCGGCGCCTCTTCAGATTGTCCCTAAACAGGACAAAAAGGGCCTGGGTTTTTCTTAGGGGCCACTAGGAGCCTTCTCACACCTACTCCTATAAAAATCACTTGGAGAACAGACAGCCCCGTCTGGGTGCAACAGTGGCCCCTACCTATAGAGAAGGCAAGAGCAGCATTTGAATTGATACAAATGCAGCTTCAAGCAGGACATATCAAACCTTCTACACCTCCATGGAACACTCCTATTTTTGTTATTAAGAAAAAATCAGGAAATTGGCGGCTTCTTCATGATCTGCGCGCCGTGAATGCCCAGATGCAACCATTGGGTGCAGTCCAGAGAGGCATGCCTGCTCTCTCAGCGCTGCCACGACACTGGTCGGTCTATGTCATAGACCTCAAGGACTGCTTTTTCTCTATTCCCCTACATCCTGAAGATTCCCCACGCTTTGCATTTACTCTGCCTACGGTGAATCAGGAAAAACCTGATCTGAGGTATGAGTGGGTCGTGTTGCCCCAAGGGATGACAAATAGCCCAACAATGTGTCAGTTGTTTGTGGACTCGGTCCTTGAACCGTTGAAAAAATCTTTCCCAGAAAATAAATGCTTGCATTACATGGATGATATTCTTATCTCCGGCAAGGACCCTATCCACTTACAAGAGATGTTGCATCAGTTGATTACTATTCTTAGGAAGGCAGATTTACATATTGCCCCTGAAAAAATCCAACAATCAGAGGTGGCGCTTTATTTAGGAGCAAAGATTACCGCCACCCAGATATCCCCCCAGAAATTAACAATCAGAAGAGATGTTGTTTGCAATCTACATGACATGCAACAACTTATCGGTGGTATTAATTGGATCAGACCATACCTTTCCCTGCCCAACAGTCAACTCAAACCCCTGTTTGATATGCTAAAAGGGAACCCTGAGCTTACTTCTCCAAGAATACTCACTCCCGAGGCTGAAAAGGCGCTGCAGCTAGTTGAACAAGCACTGGCCAACGCTACATTAAAACGCATTACCCCTGAAAAGCCTTTTGTGCTTTGTGTTCTTAGAACCAAAAGGCAACCGACGGTTGTCATATGGCAACAAGGCCCCCTATTATGGATCCACCCAAAGATTTCCCCTGCCAAAGCAATAGAGCATTATCCTGAGGCTGTAGCACTCCTCGCTTTGGAGGCGATCCAACGTGCCGTCCAGCACTTCGGAACGCCCCCCGCAGCCCTGCATGTACCCTACACCAGAGACCAAATTGAGGTCCTGACGGCCTGCCTAGATTCCTGGGCCATCCTCCAATGCACCTTTCCGGGAACCATTGATAATCAATTA